AACTCAAAGCCCATTGCGTAACATTCAGCAGAGAGGAAAATGCAAGTACTGTCCCTATCACTTGACTTGTTTTCCATTTTTATTTAGTTACTTGGCAAAGTCTTGGCATCCCGTCGTGGAGGAATGAAAGAGAAGTTCCAATGAAGGACCGTGCCCTCAAGGGCATCAGCCAGTGGATGGTTTGGGAGGCTGGGCAGGCTCGTTAAATTTCTTATTGTTGGGCAGAGGGATTAGAGTTTCCAGAGACGACTTGAAAAACATCGTCGTATGATACTGGCAATTTTTTCCTGAAAGGGAAGTCTTTCTTCTCCTTCAACACTGTTTGCTTCTTGTGGTTGATACATACCTATGCTTTAAAATATCACAGCAACTAGGAGGGGCCATTTAATAGCAAAATCACTTCCCCTCACATTCTGTGATATTTCAGTTTTGCAGTAGAGTTTACAAGGTTTGAAATCAATGCAGCATTGGTTCCTTCAGAGAAAAATGATCCCAGTCTACCAAAATAAGAGCCAAACAGGCTGTAATTGTTCCTTTTCCCACAAGGGGCTTGCCCTTTTTGAAGGTGTGGGTAATTTTGATAGGACCTTCTGTCTAACAGGGTTAGGCACTGAGAATTGCCTCTTCCCCTGGGTAAAACCCACTTTTAAATGTCATTTTAAAATAGACCTCAAAGTATCTTTGAAAATAAAAGTACTTTTGTATCTCTCCATTGTCTTACCCGCTCTCGCTCAGCAAGGAAACTTCAGTTTTCTCCCAGGGCGCTTCCTGCTGCAGTGTCTAAACCTAACTTTGCTCCCTGGTTAGCATTTACTTAACTTTTCACAACACATGGATAGCATAATAAAAACGATGAAACTAAAGTCGTTTTTAATTTAGTTTTTGTTATGCCATCCATGTGTTGTGAAAAGTTAAGTAAATGCTAAGCAGGGAGCTATTTTTTTTTCTCAGTTTTGATCAAGTCTAGTTTCATAGATTTTACAGTGTCAGGATTTTTTCTTTTGGTTGCTAGTCGAGTGTTCATCAGAATAGTAAGCACAAAAGCCTTAACTTCCCCAGCCTTCTTACCCTACTTTGATTAAAGGTGCAGGATTGTACCTGTTCGGAATCCTTGTTGTCTGTCAGCTCTTCCACTCCTTGGGGATGTGAAAAACAGCATCTTTATGATAGTTGCAATTTTTTTTCTCAGTGCATAAGGATTTTCAAATCAAACCAAGCTTTTTTCTTCTGTCTCTTGTCCTCTTTTCTTCCTCCAGTATTGTACAGCCCATGATTTGTCAGGCACACACAGGAGGCTCCTGAGCCACCAGTCACATGAGAATGAAGGCAAGAAAAGAGAGGAGCAGATGGCATCAAAAGATACGCCTTTCTAGGTCGTTGGTGGTTAAGCTTGCAATCTGGTTACCAGCAGGGAGACTATGGGAGAAAGGGTGGAGAGGAGCACAGCACCATTGTAAGGGAAGAAGAATATGCCATACAGTTTACAGTCACAAGGTGCCCATTGCTCTTAGAGGTGTGTTCCTAAACGTGGCATGTAAGCACATGTGGACAACTGTGTGCAGTATTTGGATGGCAACTTTGAAAAGTATGGCTCCCACCCTTGGTTGGCTACTATCCTGTAGCTGCCCTTAACCCTTTGTCATTCTACTCTCCAAATGCCTGATTCAGTTACAAATACAAAAACTGTAAGAAATGACGTTTGGCTCCCACAGATACACTTCTTCCCACAGGAGAGAGAGGACATGATTCACCTCTCATCCTTTACACCAGGGGTCCTCAAACTTTTTAAACAGGGGGCCAGTTCACTGTCCCTCAAACCGTTGGAGGGCCGGACTATAGTTTAAAAAAAACTACGAACAAATTCCTATGCACACTGCACATATCTTACTTTGAAGTAAAAAAACAAAACGGGAACAAATACAATATTTGTATTTGCATGTGGCCTGCGGACCATAGTTTGAGGACCCCTGCTTTACACTATTACCTATTTTGGAGAACTGTATTTACGAAACAGAAAATGACACCATTGGCCTTTGCGAGTCATGATATCGCATGTAAGCCGTATCTTGGAGTGCACTTGTAATTGTGGTACTTGACGGAAGGAATGTTCAGTAGCGGCTAATAACAAACAAATATCAGAAAGGACAGTGTGCCTTCCCTGTTCAGTGAGGCATTACTCACTCCTTGACTTCCTTGGCTTGTGCATCTCCTGATGTGACTGCACTATTACAGATCACCAGACTGCTGAACTTGGCTTATAACTTTTTAAAATAGAATTCCACTTCAGTTGTTTTCCCTTGAATGAAAAAAACTAAGGTATTTTTAATTTTAGGATTCAACTTGATCTTAGCATATGAACTTGTTTCCTTTACTCTTTGAATTCCCTTGAAAAATCCTTGCTTTTTCATAGACAAATTCAATATCCCTGAAGTCCAAAGTCAAGTTTCAACCTTTTATAAGTCTACCTCCTCCAATTACAATCTCTCCTTTTATTCAGTTTCTGTTGCCCTTGCTATCTGTATGACTCATTTTGTTATGAACCAAATGAAACAAAACAATATATTTTGTTCTGTAGTCTAGATTTTACACTGTTAGAAGTTTACATTTCTTTTTTTTACACCTCCCACTCAAGCAAGTATTTGATCATTGCTGATTATACAAAAGTCATGTAATAAATATACAACTGGATGATTAAAAAAGAGATAGAAAACATAAACATTTTAATATTAGTGGGTTTCTGCCCAGATTTTAATGTTACTTTTACTTGTCTCAAAAATAGAATATTGACCCACCCATTTTTCCCTTGATGTAAAGAATCATTCTGAAGTTATTTTTCCAATATGTACACTGAATTTCTAAGAGATATTTCCTATACGTACACTGAATTTCTTGTTTAAAGGAATTTAAACAAAATTGGCAAGTTATTCTTATGGCAACATACTTGTTAACTTTACTGGTTATTTGCTTTGCAAACTTACTTTCGTGACTTAATTCAGAGCTCCCTATTGGGAGCCTCTAGTTAATAGTAAAAGAGCCACCAGTCTCTCCAACGTCATATCATGAGTGCAGTTGTTAGGCCTATGCTATAATGAGCCTAATGAAGAGTTTAAAGGCTTTTTTTTTTTTTTTACTGTGGATTTTGTTTTGTTTTTAGTCTGCTCATCATGAGCACTCTGTGATCATGTGAAAGACTTCATCTATGAGGTTTTCCAGTTAAAAATGAAAATTTTATTAAAGGCTCTGTGATCGGAGGGGAGGGGGGTGACTTTTTAATTATTAAATCACTTTAAGGGGAATCCATTGATTTAGGGAAAATAAAAATAATATTTTATCCACATCAGGTATGCCAGGTTTCAGCCTGGAACTAATTTATTAGATTGGAGTTATTGAACTCAGGAGAGAGATTTGGAATGGAAATATTAACAGACCTTCCTAGCTTGGCTAGTGGATATTGGAAGAATCTTAACAATTCATCAGCCAAGTCTCTGATCTTACTACCTTTAATCATCCTTGCTTGCCTACCCCTCTTTCAGATTTGCTAGCATTTGGAATTTCACTTGACATTATTTCATGTATATTAAGATAGATAAAGCATAGTTTGGTGAGTATGCTAATAAAACCATTTTGGCCTTCTTTGAGGAGAAAATGGAAGATGTGTTTTGTTCCTTGTACAGTTGAGACAGTTGCTGCTAAATGTTCAATTATAGCTCTTTAAGGAGTAGGGGTAAACCATGAACACATTTGTGAATTTTCTTTCCAGATATATGATTAACTGCTGAATTACATTATGCCTTATGAAACACAGGACCAAAGATGCAGACTAGTATTATTTTAGAGTGGAAATTTGTACCCAGAACTCTCATCATGGTGATCATAGTTCCTTTAGGGTATAGGAAAGGTAAATCTATAAGGTTGTCTGCTAGCATTATCGGGAGAAATTTCCTAACTTGCCCATAGAATAGGTGGATTAAAGAATGCAAATGACTTTTAGTAAAGAATTTTTCACCTGGCCTTTTCCCATATGTAGAAAATTGCAGGTGGGTAGTAAGAGAAGAGGGAGCGAGACAGAAATAAAATGAAAAACTAATGAGTGCCCAGCCAGTGTGGCTCAGCAGTTAAGTGTCGGTTCAGGCACCAAGAGGTCGCCAGTTTGATTCCTAGTCATTGCACATGCCTGGGTTGTGGGCTTGATCCCCAGTAGGGAGCATGCAGGAGGCAGGCGATTGATGATGTTCTTCTGCCATTGATGTTTCTATCTCTCTATTCCTCTCCATTCCTCTCTCTAAAAATCAATAAAAACATACTTTAAAAAAGATTATCTTTAAAAAACAACTAATGAGCTGGTACGCAAGGAACTGTTTTATAGGTTGTGGTTTCAGTAGTTAGAATTGACCACAGAGCCATATATTTTGCCTAATCCTATCCTAGCTGGTCACAGAATTTTGCTGTTCCTATTGTGTGGGATCATATGAAGTTGTTTTTATAAGTGAGAAATGGTTGAATATCAGCATGACACATAATAACATATAACACTGTAGGACAGCTGTGTGTGTGTGTGTGTGTGTGTGTGTGTAAGGTGGAAGGGAGGATATGGAAATCTATGAGCATTTTATACTTCCTTGGGTTACCCCACCTGAAAACCCCTATTTTGGCCTTCAGTTTTAGCTATTCAGAGTCAAATACAGTTGCCCTAGTATGCTTTCTGACTTCCACATTACATTAATACAGTTGAGATAGTTTATGGGGCAGGCCAAAATGAAATCATCTCTGACAGATTACCATTGGGGATATAATCTGACGTGGCCGGTAGCTGTAGAGTACAACAGCAATGGCAGGTTGAACATCAGTAAGCATACCTGCACTTGCAGATACGGAAGTAGGGGTGTAACATGATTATAGACTGAATAATGTGCAAATTATTATTTGTCTTAAAATAGGTTTTAGGATATTTCTAGTGGAATATTCAGACTGTGCTTATTTGACTTCTTTGTTTTTCTTAGACGAGCTCATCTGCGCCTATGTTTAGAACGCTTAAAAGTTCTGATTCCACTAGGACCAGACTGCACCAGGCACACAACACTTGGTTTGCTCAACAAAGCCAAAGCACACATCAAGGTGAGAACCTTTACTTTCATATTTGCACATGATTCTCATGGTCCTGGTTTTATTAGAAGCAATGATTCCTATTCATTTACACCAACTAGCTCACCGTGCCCTCCTTAATAACTGAATCAAGAGAAATCTAAAAATTTATTAGCTAATTTGATGGGAAGGAGCAACATAACCTGATGGAAGTAATTGTTTTGACAGCATGGCCGTTTGAAGAGCTGGGAATACTTAGGAAAATAACAATTACTCTGGTGATACCCAGAAGGAAGGCAGTTCTGCCCTCTGGTGGAGATGACTTCATTTGACTGTGTCCCTCAGTATTTTTCCATCAAACTACACTGCAGAGCCAGTTTCTCTTTCATGGAGATAACTTTACAGACTTTGAGAATTGCATACTGTTCTAGTAAATGTGGCATGCATTATACACACATCCCCAAATACGTAAAGAAATAACTATTTTTGATGTACTTATGTGTTTTAATACACACACACACACACACACACACACACACACATGTATTTGTAGTATATTCATTCATGTCTAACGAAATCTTTTGAGATGTTAGGTAAAAATAAGTTTTACTGTTTGTACTGGGTTATACACAAACTTAAATATCATTTTAGAAACTTGAAGAAGCTGAAAGGAAGAGCCAGCACCAGCTAGAAAACTTGGAAAGAGAACAGAGATTTTTAAAGCGGCGACTGGAACAGCTGCAGGGTCCTCAGGAGATGGAACGAATACGAATGGACAGCATCGGATCAACTATTTCTTCAGATCGCTCTGATTCAGAGCGAGGTAAGCAGTGTGCTACTTCCCTAATGAAATAATAAGAATCCCTGTATCTGTATTTAGGGAACATAGGTTGGGAGGCACTGTATTTGCTTTTTACTCTTTGGCCAACATTGTAATATTCTAGGTTTTAGGCAATCACAACATTGTCTAGTAATGCCCATGTGAACTATAGAACTTTTTTTTGATTATATATATATTTTTAATTTTCTACTTTGAAACAATTTTAGACTTAGAGAAAATTTCTCTGTAGAAAATTACAGAGTTCTCATATATCCTTTACCTGAGTTTCCCTAATGTTAACATCTTTATATAACCATAATGCAGTATCAACACCAGGAAATTAACATTCATGCAATACTGTTAATCTATAGGCCTTATTCAAATTTTACTAGTTTTCCTACTAATGTTCTTGGTCTGATACAGGATCCAGTGCAGGATTCTACATTGCATTACATAGTTCAGTATTTCTTTCATGACCATGACACTTCTGAAAAATATTGGCTTGTTATTTTATATAGTGTTGCTCAATTTGAGTTTTCTGATATTTTTCTATTAATAGATTGAAGTTATATATTTGGGGGAAGAAATATCAGAAAGTGATAGTATGCCTTTCTCAATTTATTGTATCAAGAAGATACATGATGTTGATATGTCTTAATACTGGCGATATTAATTTTTATACCTGTGTTTTAAAATGCCATATCCATCATTTCTCTTTCCACCTATCCCAGAACATTTGTGTCTGGCAGAATTTAAGAAGAACAATCAACCAAAAAGAAATTATTTGAATTTTACTGATCTACTCATCTGTAGCTCTTACTACATCAGAACTCACACCACAGTAAAGGATCCCAGAGGTAAACTCTGGTGATTTTAAACTTTACATTTGGGAAAATTGAGCTCATGAGATTCTTGAGGTTTCTAAAAAATTTTTTGCAAGATTTCTTGTTTTGATTTTTTATTATGGAAAATTTCAAACATATACAAAAGTAGAATAATGAACTCTCATGTACCTAACATCCAGTTTGAACAGCTGTCAACATTCTGTCATTCTTGTTTCATCTGTTCTCCCACCATCACCCGCACTCTCACCCTCACCATTTTCTCTTGAATGTTTGAAATCAATCCCAGAGAACATTATCATGTTTTCTATAAATACTTCAGTATGTATCTTTAAAAAAAATAGGACTTTAAAAAATGTAATTATATTATTGCCGAAACCGGTTTGGCTCAGTGGATAGAGCGTCGGCCTGCGGACTGAAGGGTCCCAGGTTCGATTCCGGTCAAGGGCATGTACCTGGGTTGCGGGCACATCCCCAGTGGGAGATGTGCAGGAGACAGCTGATCGATGTTTCTCTCTCATCGATGTTTCTAACTCTCTATCTCTCTCCCTTCCTCTCTGTAAAAAATCAATAATATATTTTTTTAAAAATGTAATTATATTATTATAATATCCCATAAAATTAATAAAATCAGATGCTCTTATTCAATGCCATAATAGATATTTCTCAAAAATGGCATTTTACCTTTGGTATGTATGAATTAGAATCCAAAGTCCACATAGCATTTGTTTGTGCCTTTTAAGATACTTTTCATCTATAAAATTTTCCCTTCCCCAGTTTTTCCCCTGAATACCATTTATTTATTATAGAAACTAGGTGGGCCATTTTTCTTATAGAATTTCCCACATTTTAGATTTGGATGATTCAGTCTTCATGGCGTCACTTCATGGTGTCTTACTTCCTGTAAACTAGTTGGTAGACCTAGTTGGGTTGATTAAATTCAGGTTCCTTTTTTTTTTGAGGCAAGAATAATTCAGAGGTGATGCTGTGCACTTGGTACATCAATATTGTGTCCAGTTGTCTCACTCTAGTGAAAACATTGGTTAGTGAGTTCAGGTATTGTCATCTTGATACTTTTATGAGACTGTTTCAGCCTTTCACTTAATAGTTTTAGCAATCATTATTGCCGTGATAATTATTTCAATGGATGTTACAAAATAGTGATTTTCTAATTTTATCATTCTTCTTATGTTTAACTTTTTCTTCTATAAGGAAGAACATTTCCTTTAGAGTTTATGGTTACTCTGAAATAAAGTCCACATGGGGAAAATGGGATGTTTGTTTTTGTTTTATCAATTTTCTGAATAAGTTGGTGCCTTGGTAATAGGGCATTTTTGTTTTGCTATTTCTTTTTTATTATCTTATGAACTCATGTTCTCATGTATTGAATGTATTCAAGTCCATTGTAGTCATTCTTTTTCTTTTTAATACTCAAATTTTCTATATTCTGTAGGAGCCTTTTAAATTGTTGTTTTATCCCTTTTAACACACACTAGGAGTCCTTAGGTTTGTTGTTTTTCTTATGTAAATGTTTGTTTTTATGTGGCACTCAATTTTGAAGAACAAAAATTTACTAGGGGCAACAGCAAGAACCTCTAGGACATGCTACATTTATAAGTGACCATGAGGTATAGCAGAAATACTCTTGAATTAGGAGACAGACCTTGATCCTAGTCTTTTTTTTTTTTTTAATGCTTATGCACTGTGACCTGTCAGGTCTTCACGCTTTAACTGCTCTTCCTGATGTTATCTCCTCCTTGTACCTACCCACCTCCAAATTTTAGAGGTTGTATCTTCATCATTATAGTTCTCATTTTTTCAGTATCCCCAGTATATTAGTTACCTTATCTAGTATTATTCTTGTTCTTATCTGACAGCCCTCTTTCCCAGTAACTTTTAGTAACAATCTCTTTTCCATTTGGCTAGAGCATGTCTCATTTTACTTTGTTTTGATTGAGTTTAGCATGCTTTGTTAGATAGGGTGTCTTCATTTTACTTTGCAATTGGAGGTTGAATGCATATTCTGTGATACTAGGAAACACTAAATAGCCTGTGAAGCATTGTGGTTATGAAACAAATAGTTATGAATTCATAGGATTATTTGTACAGCTTGTTTGGACAGCTGCCTGCATTTTAAAAGCAGATCTCTAAAACTTTTGAAGCAACAAGCCCTTTTGAAAATTATACTCTTTGAACTAACTTACTCTGTCTTCTTGGGCTCAGCAAGAATCCACTTTTCCTAAAGCAATTGTGATCAGTGTGAACCCTTAAAGTCAGTGCCAAATGTGAAACATTAGGCTTTGAGTTTGTTTTAAGAGAATTGAAGAACCTTGAGTTCATTCTAGCTATTATGGGAGAAAACAGCTTTTCAACTGCCTTTTATTTTTTAAAATGTGTATTGCTTTTTATATATTATTGGTGATTGTATATGTAGTACTTAACAATTGAGATATCTACCGATAGCTGGGTAATATGTATTTAGACTTTTTTCCATCAAATTTGATTTTTGAAGTTAAATACTACCACTGACATGCCTTTACTATAGAACTCACTATAATCCAGAGACTTTAAGCATTAGACCGTCATTTCAAGCTATATTTGATGCAAGAAAATTAAGTTGAAGACAAATCCCATAGTCTACTTTATAATGACAGGCTTATTTTGGTTACTGAATAGTCAAATATCTTTATGATGAATCTCAGAAGTCTGAAGCACTGTTGGTAGAATGATACTACCAAAGGCCTGGGCGGATAAATTTTTTAGTTTGTCTATATTAAGTTTATGCTTTCCTCCCCCCTACCCCCCTTAAAGCAACTCTGATTAATAAACAGACTGAGAATTAGTTTCTAGTTTAATGCAAAACAGATGTTGTTAAACCATTTGGGGTTGGGATCTTTTAATATTAAGCACTAATTCCCAAATAGGCCAAGTGCTTTTGGTGGGAGGTCCAGACAGACTGGCGTCAAAGGCTTTAGTAAACTTGCTGCCTAAATTGAGACCACCACTGTACACCAGACATTCCCTTTTGTAAAATATATCCATGTCTCTTCACCTATGGTTCCTTCTGTTCTCCAGACATCACTCATAATAAACTTGTTTAACAATTATTTTATACTATAAAAAGTAATCACTTTTCCTCGTTAGTTTTTTAAAGTGCCCATAAACTAGATTACTAATGTTCTCTTTTTCCCCTTTGGCAGAGGAGATTGAAGTGGATGTTGAAAGCACAGAGTTCTCCCATGGAGAAGTGGACAATATCAGTACCACCAGCATCAGTGACATTGATGACCACAGCAGCCTGCAGAGTATTGGGAGTGACGAGGGTTACTCCAGTGCCAGTGTCAAACTTTCGTTCACTTCCTAGAACCCAGCATGACATAACAGTGCAGGGCAAAATACTCACTGGGCCAATTCAATCCAAACAATCTCTTAAATTGGGTTCATGATGCAGTCTCCTTTAAAACTAACCTAAACAAATCATACTTGAACAAAAGGGTCAGAAGACCTCTATTTAAGCAAATACTTAGCAAAATGTGGGGCAGAGCCTCCCCAGCAGAACAAATATTCATTAATATTCATTTTTGAAAATCACAATTTCTAATGGCAGCAGAAAACTTGTGTGAAATTTTCTTGGACTTGATTTAGTTGATTTGAAAGGACATTGGAAATTCCATCCTCTTTTTTTCTTTCCTAGGTTGCCCATAGTGTAGACACATTTAAGGAAGGTATTCTGAACCCTTCCTGAGCTTTATGATCCTAAAAACAAAATCAGATCTATAATAATGGCAAGACAAGATAATCAGGCATTAATCTTGGATAGCTACACAGCTATTAAAACTTAGCCTGGGCTAGCTTATCATGAAGCCTGTGGATGATCAATTCTTTAATTAAAAAAAATAAAAAAACGAACACATTTTTTTCATTTAAAGCTTGTCCATAAAAACATAGATGTCTTTTATAGCGGAAAAACGTGGGGGGAAAAATCATCTATTTTGATGCAGCATTTGATAATGATAAAATGCCTCACTCTTTATAGTGCACAAAGTGAATGAGGTCTGAGCTACGTAGGAAAAGGTCAATGCTGTTTTTGCCTTCTTTTAGAATCATTACCAGCTTTTATCCATCTGATATCTATAGTAGACACACTATCCTAGTTAACATAGTTAAGTTCTGGACTTGTCTCATTTTAATGTAAAGATTTGCTTCCGTTTTCCTACAGGCAGACTCTCTCCTTCCTCACAGTCCCACTGTGCAGGTGCTATTGTTGCTCTTATCAATATTTTCAGAAATGTTATTTTAAGTGAAATTCCTAGCCTGCACTTTGATGTCGTGTGTTCCCTTTGTCCTTCAAATTCCCAAGTTTTCTCCCTGGCCTCGCCTCTCCCTTACCCCAGGAAACCTTGGAGACCTCCTTACTCCTTTGACTTTAAAGGCTCTTTGAACTTTGTATACTTTAAATAATTTAACTACCCATAATTACTTTTAAAAAAGCTTTATGATTTTCATAACTTATTGCTGATTTTAATGGGTTGTTAATTTCAGTCCTGTAGTTTTATTTTGTTTAGATAGGGCTGGGCAAGGAAAAAGAAAATAAAGACAACCATATTTAGCAGTGCAGTTGAGTTGTGTGTGTAATAATTAGACTATCCTTTGTAAGTAGCACTTTAACAGCTTTCACTGCTTCTATGTATGAAGTGTACCATCTTGGTCATACACAAGGCCTCAGCATATACTTACTTGTTCTTGTGCTCTTCCTGTGCCTCAAAAATATTTTATCCTTGATTGTGCTGTTTGAGTGGAAGAAATTCTTTCAAGTACACGTGTGAAAAACTGCATGCCTTTAGAAGCCCATTATTAGAACTTGCTACTTCAGGTGCTGGGGACTCAAGGAAAAATATAAATTCATTTCTGTTGCCCAGGTAAATTATTTCTGATTTCATTTTAAATTCCTCTTGGCTGGGTCAAAATGTTGCTCTTACGTTGCTTACTTTGACTTTGACTTTCCCAAGTAAGACAGTTTGAAGACTCTGCTAACTACCATGAAAAGTAAATGGAAGCCAATGATTAGCTGCCATTTTTACTCCCATGGCATTCACTTGCATCACTTGCCTAGGGCTGGAATTTGGGACGATTCATTCAGGTGAACTTGAGGTGCTGCCATTTTGTTGTATGTGTATTGGATGGTGGGCTGAGAAGACTTTGTCACGAACCTAGAGTACCTATTTCAACTGCCCCCTAAATTACTCCTTCCCTGGGTTTGTTTTACTGGGGGAGGGGGGTGGGTTGTATGATGAGTAAGAAGTATTACTTTTTTAAAAGACAAATCGACTTTGAAGATACAAAAGTTAATTGCAAGAAATAAAAATTGTGAATGAATAATACCGAGTGCTTTTTGTACCACCCTTCTCTATGAAGGAAAAATACATAAATGAGCATCTACACCGTGAGGCAACTGTCACCTAAATGTTTGTTGATACTACTTCGGTAGTCCAGAATTAATGGCAATTTGAATCACTGCCATTTCCTATAATTTAACAGGTGCTTTCTTGACTGATAATTCCACATAACCTAATTGCAGACAGTTTATTGTGATATTTAACTGCTTCAGGTAGGACACAAAGCCATGTCATGCATAGCTGTTCTCCAAATAACTTTTTAAGGAATCCTTTGGCTACACATATAATTCACATTGAAACCAAGTCTGGAAGCTCACCTCAGAAAGTACCCTGTATGGAAAAGCCTGAGTGATGGTGCAGGTAAATTTTATTTCGGTGCATATTACCAAAGAAGATTGTGATGATGTCATTATTTCTCTAGTTTCTGATTAGAATAGGTATAACTCCTCTGGTGACAACAGCTTTTAGTATTATAAAGGAATTTTAAAAGTGAGGATTATTGAGGCAAAACTCCTAAGACCACACTGCTTCCTGGGTCATTTCTCATGAGAAAATTGTTTAGTCCTGAGTTTCTCTTCTGCTTAAAGCAACAAGCTGCCTTTTTCCCTTTCTTTTAACTTCCACCTAAATTCCATACTCCCTATCAAAAACAGCATCATGTGGTAAGAAAAAGGATTTTAGTCACTTTAAATATCAGTTCTAGCGTTTGCTAAGGACCCTGGGCAAGTTGTTTAATTTCTTCATAGGGACTATTTCCTCCTCTAAAAAGTTGTGATAAATACCTGTCTCAAAAGGTTGTATGGATTAATACTGACATATGTAAATTATACCACCCCCTCAATCTAGGAGTTTGTAGCACCAAAAGGAAACTAAGGTATGTAACTTCTCTACTTTCTCTGATGAATGCAATCTTCTAATCTCTTCATCCTTAATCTTGAATATTAATTATTCTGACTAGGTCTATTAAATGAAATAGTTCATTTTCATAAAATTACATAGCAGGTTATACTTTGTTAAGACATCAACTTTTATGTCCTAATAATTTTTAAAAATAAAGCCTTTACAAGATTGATGGATCATCGGTTTTAGTAATTATCTGGATCTAAAAAAAGGGGGCGGGCATGACTACCCTGAGCTTGAGAATACTATACACTGATAGTCGCTACTGCATAATTGAACGTCCTAGTTAACATTTAGTGTTGGCTTTGCCAAGGGGGGGGGGGGAGGCGGGGGGAATTCTTCCTGGCCCATTTACCAGATCTAACAGAAAACTAGTTTTCTTGTGGAATACATCTGATCCTTTTAATCAGTATACGTCAAAATATATGTACTGGCTGGCCATTTCTTGGTTGTTTTAACTTCTATAGAATCATAAATTAGGAGACATGGCTTAAATGAAGCTCTTTTCAAGTACTGCCAGCTAACTTTTCTAAAATTTTGGAATTTTTCCCATTTCCTCAAGCTCTTTGCTATGGAGGAATGCTTAATAGGGCAGTACTTGGGGCATTTAGCTTAGATTTTCAAACCAAGCACAGAATAGCATTGTAAAAACATAAAAGCCATAAAAAATACAAATTTAAGGAGTCAGTTTCTTCTCAGCTTCATCAACAATCTGAAAGCTAGAATCAACTAAGTCTAACAATACTTTTGGAGGGAAAAACTGGGCAAAGGAACCAAAGGGATACTTACTCCTTCCTGCATACTTCTGAGCAATGAACACCTGGACAATTACCATCTATTAAAGACTAGCCTAGCTGCAGACCTCAGGATTCAAAATCTTAGTTTTCCAAGGACTTAAAAGTCAAGCGTTTCCTCCAAGCCTGAATTGTTTCTCTGGTCAGAAATTCACTGCATCTTGCTAAAGTGAGTACAGGGCTTGAAAGGGGGAAAAACAAAACAGAAGCACATCAGTTTCACCAAGAAAGGGAAATCATGAGCCAGCAAAATCACAACCATGACTTTTGGCCTCAAGTTGAAAAGGTAGCTCTTCAAACAGAAAGCAAACCTTTTCGCATAATGAGTATAACCATGGCTTCTTAAAGACTGAGGATACAAATTATAATTTTAACTCCAGTAACCTAAGTCTGTACTGGTTTCATAAAAATGAATTGGTGAGGTGCTTGGTGGAAGTAAACTACCAGTTTTTATTTCTGGGAACGGAAAGATAATTTCAGTATCCATAATTTGACATTTTTAGCTAGTTCAGCTGTCAACTACCACAAGCCATGTTAGTCTCAGATCTGCTTTACCTCAAGGCCATAATAGAACCACCTCTATGTACATAAGCTGAAAGGCAAGAGGAGGCAATCAAAAATCTTCACAGAAATCTAGTATCTTCCATCTTATGTTTTCTTTTGCTATTTATTTTTAGCCAGGCCAAAACAAATTCTTAGAATGTCAGTATTGGTTTCTGAACCTCTTAAGAGCATATCTATACAGACATGCTTGTTAAATATCATAATGTAAGGGGATTCGATTGCTTGGGTTTTTGTTTGTTTAAACTACGGTATTACCTGTTATTTTGCCTGCTATGCTCTTCCTTTCCACTGCAGTAAAAATTCAGTGTTTAGCTTGCAACTCAAAAATCCTAGATACAAAGAATGTTCATATTTACTTGTAAATTACCATTTATAGTAATTGGTTGCTTCATAGTATAATACAAATACTTAATACAATTCAACAGGTATTTATAGAACTCTAAAGATTTTAATAAAATATAAACCTTGTTGGTTTTAATAATTTTATATTTCAATTAATATCAAAGTTAAAGCAAAGTCAAATCAAAGCTTTAAAAATATTTTTTGCCTGAATTTGCAAGTGGTTTTGTCTCTTTTAAGAATTATAATCTACAGACACACAATTTACAAAACTATGGTTTTTCCTTTGCTACATTAAAGGCAGGCTCACTCAGCATTAGAACTGCATTGTAGTGGAAACATACACACGGCACCCTTTGTGAAAAACAAGCATTTTTAAAAAATGAGTTATTACAATAGATGGATGCATTTCATTTTAGTTTGGTGCCTAGTCTTCATAATTGGGCTAAGAAAACTGCCACTTAAGGTAATTTTTCCTTCATTTCAAAAACTGATTTTATAGAGGGCGGACAAATTCGTATGGTAAAAGATATGCAAGTTGTGATTGTTACAATAGCTTTAACTCAAAAGAATGTCACAAGGGCATAGTAAACCTACTTTTGTGCACCCTTGTATTTACCCAAAAACATGGTTCTCAGCCAGAGATGTGTATCAGAATCACCTGTGGAGTGACAGCTATATCTTGGCTTAGATGATTCTGAGGTAGGATCCAGGAATTCCTCTTTAATTTTAAACAAGCTTTAGGGATGATTTTATTATAACCTGTATCCCCTTCCCATCAAGAAACATGCCTAAGACATTCTTATATAAAAATTTTAACCTTTACTACGGTGTACTTCTTATAAAGTTTGATAACATTTCAGTAGCATGTTTATAATTAGGGGCCAAATTGTAAGCAATGGGCATTATTATACATTTTGATATGAATTATT